TCATTTTGGAAAATTATGTCATATAGGGCAGGTTGTGCCACATTTTTGTTGGATCAGCAATAATTTTGTTAATTTACCAGTTAGCTGAAAAAAAAAATTAAATGGTAATTTGAATATTTGTCTATGTGAAAATACTGAAATACTGTCCTTAAATACGACTGATTAGTCATAAAATAAAATCGTACAAGAAAAAAGGGAGTGTCAATACCGTGCTGGGGGTGTGAACAAGCATAAACAGAAGTTAAAAAATAATAGCTATAAACACCAAAATGATTTATAACGACTTTTATTGTCATCAATATGATTTTTTTATCTGTGTGATCTTCGCCCGAAGTGGACCAGAGATACATGTTGGTAATTAACTACTAATGTTCATCTTACAGCCAAATAACAAATAAAATGATCTATCAATATACAAGTAACAGTTATTATTTAAAAAGATCGATAAAAAAAATCTACTTTTGACTCCATAAAAGCAATGTGGTCTACAGATCATGTCATTGTAGGGCGCTAATTGAATGCAATAAAGGAAACTTATTCGAATAAACATACTTCATCTTTTTCCCTCTGGACTCTATTTCATAATCAGTATAGTTTAGATGGTATGACAACTGTCTCTACCGTGCTCTGGCACAACCGTACCCAGTCTCTCCTACTAGTAAATTGTGGTAAGTGCCTTTTTGGAGCCGTTAATTTATGCTAGCAACCTTTTTATTTCTTAATATAATAAAGATCGCAACATTTTCAAATTCATTTTACTAGGATCAAAAAAATTGATTTTAAGCAGTAATGAATTCATGTCAATTGATTTGCTTTAACATTAGTTATCCAAAGCGTTAAACCTCAACCGATTTAAAATGTAAGTATACTGGATTTATTTTATTTATTAATAAGTTAATATGAAGCTCACTGAAAATTACATATGAACACGTATTTATTAAAATAAAAACATTATTTAATAATAGCCGGTAGGTCAACTAATTTAAATTGAATATAATTGAACAAATTTATTGTTTGTATATATTAACTAATATGGATAATCCTGCTTTAGTAAATAATATTAAATTTCAGATATTTCATTCAAAATTGTAATGGAATGCCTTATAATTACATTAGACGATGGTTTATTTAAGTAAAATACCGAATAATTGATGGCGCATGGTCAATTGATTTTGTGTGTCAACCTACATATTAATTCATTATGAAGTGAGAACTAGAAAAAAGTTACATTATTTAAACGATATGCAAGTTGTGGTCCAGAAAGATTGCTACTGGTTCAATATTTTACATTATTAAGATATTTATGGGCCAATTCTGCCGCAAAATGGACCAATGTCAAGGCAAGACTATGTTACGCTTTGTTTTCCATATAAAATAGTACTAAAAACTGTCAAAATGCTTTGTTCTCTATGTGCAGTCAGACGTTATTTAAAAATTTACTAAATTGGTGACCCTGAAGGTGAGCTAAAGTGATGATAAAGAATAGAAAAAATGCAGGTATGTTGGGAGTTTAAGCAGAATCGCAAACTGCAAATAAGCGTTGATCACGTCGGGGTCACCAATTTGGTAAACTTATTTAATAAAAGTAAACTATTATACATTTTTACAATAGTTCATTTTTAATAAATAAATTTACTAAAATACCTTATACTTCTAAAGTAGGTACATATTCCATCTTATTTTACATGTGAAAAATTATATCTTATTAAGGCATAAAAATATTCAAACATCCTATATCGTAGGTTTTCATGGGGTAGGTAAAGATGTATATATATGTACATATTTGACTTTGATTAAGAACACAATATTTCAGGTAGATCAATCTATTGCTGTTCCTGTATAAATATACAGCACTTACAATGTTGGGCATAAAAAATAAATGTCAATTTATTATTAAAATATGCAATATATTTAATTTATTTTTGTGTAGACTATATTTTTATCTTATTTAAAATTGTTGTTTAAATACAATAAAGTGGCAAAAATGGTCGTGCGCTGATAAAAGTGCTGACTTAAAAATGATCAAACTGAGAAGAACAGTATTGATGCACTGTGAATTAACTCAATTATATTTCGACACTTCGCACACGGAATACGGAATTAATGCCATAAAATCATCAATATAAAACTTTTCTAAAATTGACATATGTTTTTTGTCATCTTGGGAATTTTTATCGTGATATAACGATATCGGTGGGAGACGAGGCGACGTGTGCCAAAGTTAAAAGAGAGAGTGTGCAAACAAAATGAGGTCAGAACACTGATGAATTTCTTATTCCGTAATTAAATGCAAACTGTCTCAAAGAAAACTTTTGCAATGCGGCCTAAACTGAGGAATAGTGATAACGTGCTATCTAATAATTCGATTATTTAGTGTAATTGACTTGTAAGTTGTAACTCGTTCTGTAGTGAATAAAAAGCGTAAGACCAAGTGAATCAGAAGTGAAAGTATAAACTTCATTCAAAACGAACGTTCGACGGTTGGTGAAGTCAGTGTACTGATAGACTTCGTGTTTGGTTAATGATTGTGCGTTTTAGCATTTAAGATGTTTATATTTGGATTATTTTGTTTAGCATTTTTTACATGTGAGTATGTTGAATTTAAGCTAATCTCTCTCAATTGAACAGTTTTGATTCAACTATTTTATTAATATTTTTTAAAATTAAAATTTAAAAAATAACTTGTATAGTTCTAGTGATTTATCATGCACATACATTATAATTTATCGAATATAATATACGATGTTTGAAATATAGTATTTAGTTCATAGCATGATTGTTTATTTTAACTCGTTACGTTGTCAACTTAAATAATGGCATATACAACTAATTAATAAATAACAATATGATTATGAATTGTTTTGTAAACAATAAAGTTGCTTTTTAACTTTGATGAATGTAAAAAATTTCAATGAATGTTTTATGCATGTGGAATTATTATATTAGCTAACATATTATGAAAACACATGTCATTTTAAAATATAATTTATTTAAAATGCTATTAATATTTAAAATGATAGAAAGTTAAAAATTATTTTATAAAAGTAGAATGATATTAATACTGTTTCCTTTTTAAATATTTTTGAACATCAATTTTAGAAATTGCTTTTAACTTAACTTTAAGGTTTTAACTTAAGTTCACTCAATCAATCTGTACAAAATATTTAATTTTTTTAACAATTCCAAGTATTTTTTTTTCTAAGTTAATTATCTAATTTAATTATTTCAATACTTTTACAATTATTATTAAGCCGGCAAGGTCTCTGATAGAATCACAAACATTTTTGTGTAATTGTACAAGCAAGAACTCGCGTTTCTAATTATTATGCAACATTTCAATAATGTTGAGTCGCCTTGAGTAAAAGGTGTACGGTAAAGACTAACTTATGTATTGGTGCTCAAACTTTAATTACTATACATGATTTCAAACTAATTAATTTAACCATTTTGGTTTTGATAAATAAAATTGATTTAGTATTACTTAAAATTTTCACAAATTATTAAACCTTGATGACATTAAATTATATATAAAAAATTACCTACTATTGTCGTTGTAAAGCGTTATTTTATGATAGTACACTATCAAATTTTGAATAATATTTAAAATAATAAAAAAGTCTACTAACCTATAAAAAACTCCATAGGCCGAATATTTGTATCATATCCAAAACTAAAAGAGAGCAAAAAATCAGCAAAAAAATCATAAGCCTATATATGCAAATGAAAAACAAAACGTTCTGCATAAACAAACTTTTTGGTATTAATAAATTATGTGACTTTCGAATCACAGCGGCCTTTCTGTGTATGAAAATGTTATTTCAAAATGAAAAACCTAGCTAAGGTCATAAATATTGATATTGGTTGTTTTGGCAACCATAAAATATAAATCATAATTATTTGGAATGATATCGAAAAATTTGGATTGTGACCTAAAAGTTATGTGGGCCCAAAGAGGGTTATTAAAGCACTATCAGTCACATCACTATTACAAGAATGGGCCTTAATACCAAGCATACCACATTCTGTCCAAATATTTGATATATTGTTCTCAATGATGATAGATCAAACAAACCAATTTTGGAAAAGTAATGAATTTTTTTTCTAATCATGAAATATGTTAAAATTGATCTAAATAATTTGCATAAAAATGATTGTTTTGTCTAAATTTATAAAATGAATTATTCCAAGAAGATATTTATCAGAAAATGACAACATAAATTTATATCTCACACATGTGAAAACAAAATAGCAATGAGCTTTAAAGATTGGAAACGAGCTTACAGATTAAGAAAGATAGTGCAAAAGTGTACAGATTAACAGTATTTGGTAATAGCGTAATTTATTTTAATGCATATTTTATTGTCAGTAAAAATTTAAAACCTGAATCAAATCCCTACATATGTCAAATATTTTTTTAATTAAAATGCGTTATATTAAAAACATTGCCAATTTTGCAAGCATTGTAATAATATTTATAGTAATAATATAGTTGATCATCATTATATAAATTTATACACATACTGAATTTATTTAATTATATTGGCAATAAAGTTAATATTGTCTCTTTTTGAGAATCTCTTGTTCAGACTGAAATTATCGCAATGAATTAAATACAGCAACTGATTTTAATAAAATCATTTAATAAAACTGACCATTTTCACAATAAACATTTATGAGCAGTAAAAGCTTCTCATCTAATGTTTATTTGAACTTATCTTTTTGACTTTCTAAACTTTTATTTTCTGTGAAATATTTATTATCTTATGCAAGTAATGTGATATTAAAATTATTAATAATTGCATTGATTTGTCTCAAAAGTGTCATTTGATTTCAGCTTCGCACGGAGTAATTGTCCCTGAAGAATTACCGTCACTTCTGTCACTAATTTACAGTAATATTCCGCCAATAAAAAAAGGTATCTACAAAAGATTCATTCTCATCATTTTTAACATATACCACATATAAAATTTCCATTAGAAATGAGCACGATGTAGTTAGATATGCATTTATTCGCTCAAGAATTATTCAACCATATTAAAAGTAATAGAATATATGTTTAATGCATGAATGTATATGCTTAATTTTTGATAGAAAATAAGAGTAATAAAATATCTTTATGAATAAAAAACAATAATACTAGTTTTAATCATTAATTAGGAACGGATTCAAGATTAGGAGTTGGCTTTCGATTGGGTGAACATGCTGATTTTCAGATTATGGTTGAATTAGGACCACAGACGGAGACAAGACCAATAGGTAAAAAAAATACTAATATATATGCATTGGTTCAAAAGAACTGCAAAAACCAATTTACAAACAAGCACATAGCTAAAAATTTACCCTCGTAAATGGGGTAAAAAGGGACAAATGATAAATTTTAGAGAAAGTATAAATAACATCTCTATAATTAGAAATTCACTGGGAATTTTACTGAACACAGTACGATAGTTGTTTGTTTGATACGTGTTATGTGATTTAGTCAGTATAATTACTTAAAGTCAAATTGGATCTTTGGCCTACGCTCCATATTAATTATCAAAAAACAATTTAACTAAATTTTGTATTACAGGTGGTGGAAGCGCGACGAACAAAAGAAATGTAGCGCCCAACTCTTACAGGATAAAAGATTCGGTGAGTCATATTTGACTAATCATATTAAAAAAAATCAAGACAAAACAAGCTCTTTCTTGTACTCAATCTATTTATATAATGAGAAAAATTGCAGGACCATTTTGGTTTAACATTATAGTCATTGATACGACATAGTTGAAAATACCATTTAGAACCTTCACTAAACTACTGTAATTTTAATTCTTATATCTAAAATTTCAAATATCTTTCACTTACCAGATATCCAATACCGACGGCGGTAAGTGGCTTTCCAACTGGAGTCAACAAATGAAGAAGGCACAGAACTCCATCTACATTGACGAAGATGTTGTTCCTAATCTTACATCACCAGACAAACCATATCTTCCTGCAGAAACCATGTCTCAATTGGGTGAGCTGTATGACGCTACCAACCAACCCACAAAACCTGACAAAAAGCCAATAAATGTAAAGTTACCAACTGTGGGAGCACAAGTCCTGTCCGAAGCCCAGAAAGAGAAAAGGAAAAAAGAAGTGTTTGAGGAATTGTCTGATGTTGAACTAGAGTAATTAGTTAAAATAGGTAAACTGGAGTAAAGGAGGTTTGATTAGTGTTTGCTAGGATGGTTGAAGAGAATGAAAATGGCTGTATATAGTTAGGAAAAATAATAGAAATGTTATGAAGCTATATTTATTAGACATTGAAAAAATATTTGTTGGATACTAAGTTCAATTTGATACTTCTGAATAATTGGTATTCATTATTCGACATGTCATAAAGCTTTTTCGTAATTATTGATGTCAAAGCTATGGCAGATTAAAATGTACTAACGATCTTACTCGCCAAAACATAACCTGATAATAGTCCTATATACTATATATTATATGGTTCAAAATTTTTTCACATTTTTATAACGTCATATATTGCGCTTCTATCTTCATTTATAAATTTTGATGTCATTCATAAAAAATCATATTTTATAATTTAATATTCAACAAGCGATGATGATCAACAAAATTATAATTTTAATGCGATCTTGATAAATATATGGTTACCAGATTGAAAATAGAATTTTCTTATTGACTTAATCAAGAAAATACAAATTGTAAATAAAATTTAGCATAAGAATAGTTTGTAGTCACCCATCTTTTTCGTCGCATAAGAATTTGGGTTAAGATAAGTAGATCCTATATAATTATTTATGTAAATTCAAGTATATTAAGATTAATAAAGTATTTTTGTACAAAAACATAATTCGCGTTGATGAATGTAACTTATATTTTTATAATAAAACGTTAAAATGCATGGTAAAAGTTTTCTTTATTGTACACCCAGAATATAATGTTTTAAACTTGATATATCGTTCTTATTATCCTATATTTATTAATAGTTTGCTACGATTTATACAATGTTTAAATCTGAATCAATTTATTTACAATATGGTAGACTACAAAATCACAATATTTGAAAAAACTTAAATGCCCATACGGCATTTTAGAATTGGAAAGAGACGCTATATAAATGCGTTAGTTCCATCATGACGACATGATATAAAAGTCCAATTATTACAATTTTGACTTAAATGTTAAAGATCTTTATAACAGTTTAGAACGCATTAATATAAATGTATTGAGTAAGAAAGGAAGAGAAAAGTCTGAACCTACAAACTGCCTCAATAAATACTCAACATTAGTAATGGAGTTCTAAAATATAATTTTATTTTATGATCTATATCGTCAATAATTACACAAGTCGACAAAAAAGTTGTCTGTATTGGATGCACGGTATATTTTTTCCAATGTAGATTTTATGTATCATGCAGAAGAATTCTATTTTCTCATTTTTTGCCTTTTGACCCGAATTTTTTGCCTTTTGACTACATTGGATAACATATATCGCAACCCTCAACACAGCTAACTTTTTTTTGTGGACCTGAGCTATTAATAGAGATTTTTTATGATTAAATTAAACCTATAAAAAATACTATTAAATTATCTTAATGTACAAAAGTGAAATTAGAGTTTAAAAGCAGGATAGAGAGCAATATTCCAACTTAAACTTAGATTACAATATATTAGTCATATCACTCACAAGAACCATATCCTTTATTCAAAAGCACAATTCATTATTAGTATTTGCTTTGATCAACACATTTTTGATAGCCACATCATCAGATAGCCATCACATTGGCATACGTCTCCAATTTTACAAAAATATTAATAGCAATTGCACCACTGCAAATAAAAATAATAATGCAATTAGGATCAAAATATTTAGTTTTGTCGAAAAACGAACCTATTTTATATTTACACGTCGTCTTTATACAATATTAATTCTAGTATTAACTTAAAAGAACACACTTGAGTAAATTAAATCTGTCACGTGACATTGATCTCTTCATCACTAGCGCAATCACTATCCGCATATTCATCAGGTTCGAAGGACCAACTGGTGTTGCCAGCGAGCAGTGGCGGAGCAGGAGACTTTGAATGCGGGTCTCCTCCCTGCTCCGTGTTGATCATCGCAGCAGCGTGGATCGTCGAAGGCGGCGAAGGAGTCGGCGGTACCCTTGGGGGGTCCGTTTGGGCGTCGCTCAGGTCCGGATGAGGATTGTTCTTGTTCGGCAGAGTCTGATCTCGTGAGCCACCGCTGGCGAGCAGTTCTCTTTCTTTGGAGTTACGCCACTTCATGCGACGATTTTGGAACCATATTTTTACCTGGAAAATAATCAGATAAACATTTATTAATTAAGTACTTAAGTCAAAATTAATACAATAAAATATTGTTTTCTTTCGTTAGGCATAGACGCGCAACGGAAATGTCAATTTCTGAATTATAATATGGTTTTTTTGGTCAAAGCACTGCGATAAAGCAATAGTATTGTTTTAAAATAAAAATGACAATTTTCTCCTGATTGTATTTACATTTTTCAAACTATTTTATTTTTGCAATTTGCGATTTTTATTAACTAGGGGCATTTGTGCCAATTTGACTTTAAGTATATAATTATACTTTCTAAACCAAATAAACTACATCACAACAGCAAACAATGTTCAATCAAATTCCCTGTTCATTCCTAATCATAGAGATGTGTATATTCAATGTTTTTCTAAAATTTGCCATCTTTCCCTTTTTATTTCATAGGCTAGGTAAAAACGAACAGGCACGAGGCAAACAGGTCCAATGTCTTAATTCTTAATTTGAAGAAATTTTACCTACAATTTTCAACAAATGCAAAATATAAATTTCATGAGCATATTTTTTACAAAGACAACACTGTACATAAGCTTGATCTCGTATTTAGTCAGAAATATTTCCCAGCAGAATTAGAATAACTATTAATTTAATTTATCTATTTTGAAATAGATTTTTCTTAACTCAATTTACTTTTTTATTTGCTATTTTCTTATTGTTTACACATTTGCCTGGATTTAAGTACACGTGTCCTTTTTGCCCCACCCACATGTAAGCCTTTATGAAGGTTATATAAAAAAATCTGTTGAAACTAGCTTAAAAATAACGATAAATATTATAAAACAATTAAATAAAGTATACTTAAAAATTATATTAAACATCGTAAACTAAACAAGAGTGCACACAACTAAAAAAATTAACAACGAATGAAAATACTTTTATAATAGATTTTCAAACATAACCGTATATTGACTGATAGCGACATTTCTTGATTTAGGGCAGTGGCTGGTTACACATCTTTTGCACTCTACTTTCAAATAATGCTAAAAAATTCTTAACTTTTATTGAGATATAAGTGATGAACCTATTTACCCGCAGACCTTTAAGCCCAGCTCTATCCTATATAAAAGAGCAATCGCTAAAAACAACTCCAGTTAGATATTCTTAGTTTACAAATTGAAATAATGAAAATTTTTATGAAAACTTAAGATAAAGCTCGATAGCCAATGTCGTTTCAGTCTTCATATATAAAAAAGGTCTAGCAATGTAAATTGTTGGATTCAAATGCGAATCCAATTTGTTTCTGTACTTTGATATTAATGTTTTTAATTTACGCATATTTGATAACCGAACCCAATATGATATAAAAATTGTTCAAAAGTTAATGAATGAAGTATTTCAAAATATCATTAATATATTTATATATTATACTAAAACAATAGTTTATGTAACCTATATTATAAAGCTATTGATTTTATTGCTACAATATGATGAGTTGATAATTTGTATTTAAAACATTATTGACACGTTTTCGATTTCAACTTATGGTTCAGTTTTATTGTTAATTCGTTAATTAACATACGTTAAATCATACATATCATTAAGGATTTACTATAGAAAACTTTTTTTTTTTAAATTTTGCTATTATGACCTTTTTATAATCTTTATATTATTTATTAAGATTTAATTTAATGCGCACATTATTTCATTATATTTTGCAAACTGATAAGTATTTATTATTGAAAAATTTAGTTTCTTAGAAAAATATATTATTTTTTTTTTGTAATTTTGTTAAATATCTATAGAATATGCAATATAGAAAATGCAATAAAAGTATATTGACTGCTAATAAAAATATTAAATTTTACAGATGTTTGTATTATTGTAATTAAATATTTTGTAGTTTAGATCGTTTTTCTGATAATGGTATTTTTTATATCTGTTATATTTAATAAATAATCTAATTAAATTATTGATGAGATGACCCCAAGTTTAAATCATATTTCAAAAAAGATTAAAAATACAATTTTACAATTAAAACACTAATTAAAATATCTCATTTGAGCTATATAAATTATAATCGGAATACAATGGATCCAACAGTAAGTCGTAGTAAGTATTCAGTTATATTCGCAAAACTCTATCTATAAACATGTTCGTAGCATTTGAATATAATGCGGAATTTGTGCAAAATTAGCCCGTGCTCTGAATATATGAATACAAAACGCCGTCTGAAACTCGTATAGTGAAGATGAAATATTAATATTACGGAATAATATAGCACTGCTGAACACTGATGGTTAATGTTTGAATTAGAAACTTCACTCAGGCGAACATTTGAATTCGAATTGCCAGTATATTAGATAATATATTATTTCTGATATTTTATTATATACACAATCATTATTGTTAGGATATAAAACAGTAAACATTATTGCTAAAACTATTTTTTTTATTTAATAGACAATAATTTTTAAATCAATATATGGTAGAGCAGAGCTTAGAGTTCTGCCGGTAAAAAGGTCCACTACTGATATATCAAAAACAAGTCAAGTTAAGAATTTTTCAACAACAATATTTGAAAAAACAAGTAGAAGCTGCCAACAAAAGTATTTTCTATAGTTGTTTTTTTAGATGTGAGCACTATTGTTTAGTTTACGAGACATTAATTTGATTTTTTAGTTTACGTTATTTAATTGTTTCATAAAATATATTGTTAATTTTAAGTTAGAGTTAGAGGTTTTTTATAGGTCAAAAAGCTTGCATGTGGGTGGGGCAAAAAGGACGAACCAAACCTTTACTCTGGCAAAGGTGCAAAAATGAATGAAATGAAATGAATTAAAAAAATTACAAGAGATAGATTAAATAAATAGTTATTCCAACTCTGCTGATGAATATTTCTGACGAAAGACTTGATCAAGGTTCTATACAGGGTTATATCTGTTGAAAAAGTTTCCAAAAAATTTATATTTTGCATTGATTCAATAATATAGCTAATATTTTTCTTTAAAATTAAAAATAAGAAATTAGAGCTGTTTGCCACCTAAAAGTCCCATTTTACTTCGCAATTTAGGTAAAAATAACCAGGTGACAAATTAAAAAAAAAACGCAAAAAAACACTTTTACAAAGGTGAATTGGCTGAGAGTTTTACTGAACATAGTCAGATAGGTGTTTGTTGAATACCTGTTATTTGCTCAAAGTCAATTTAGATCTGTGTGCCCCGTCCTACTCTAACAATAAAATAGTAATATAAAAATAAATTAATTATTGACTTTATGAAAGCACCACTTTTGCTAAAGAACATTGAAAGTAACAAACGTTTCGGGGCCTAAATTTGTTTCATCCACTATGTAATTGGTTGATATGCGGCTTTTTTAATAAAATTTTCACGAGCTTCACTGCTCGATGAAAAACATTTTCAAAGCAATCTCGAAACGGATTTAAATATTACGATGGGAAATTTTCCAGTTATTATACCGCAGAAGAACGTGGCGCAAAATCGAGCCCATCACAGCCGCACAATGTAGGCCAAGTGAAATTCAAAACAGGAATATATTAAATTGTTGAAAATTCATTAGCGCCGACATGCAAATTCTCCAAATGTAAAGGTATTCATGTTAAAAGTTTATTGTTGTTTGTTTCATTGCGTTTGTTTTTGAATGAATGTTTTATATATTCTTACTATACTTTTATTCATGCGACTTGGAAAGTTTTCAGAAAACCAAAAAAGGTCGCCAAATAAGATACTTTTTATTACATATAAATCAATCAAAATAAAAAATCTCATTATAGGGGTATAAACAAACACTTAGTGTGTAGGCATCACAGAAATTATATTTGAAATTTTATTTTTTTTGGTGAAATACAAGATTAAGGTTATATGATGTATTATCTCTGCAAAAAATGTATCCATTATATTTTGCATTGGTTGAATAATTAACTTCCCGTAGGGTAAGTTATTGTAATAGGCCAAAAATTGAAATTGAAAATTTTTACATTTCTCGACGTTTTGAAGGTTTCTGAATATTTTGGCATACATCAGAAAGAATGGTTGTGTGTGTGTGTGTATGTATGCATGGATACAATTTTTCGTCCACGTTTTCGGGCGCACGGATCAACCGATTTAAATGGTTAAAAAAACATTCGACTCCTATTGATAGGGAGGTGCTGATTAGTTTTTGGCAAAGGCAGGTTTAACCGTTACGGAGATACGAAGCAAAGAGTGCAGAAAATAGAAATCGAGTTTTTGAGTGAACGGAGCGTCCGATTTGAATAATCTGAAAAACATTCAATTAGTAATAAGTGGGAGAAGTGATTATTAAATTTTGGCAATGGCAGGTCCAGCCATTTCGAAGATACATAGCTAAATGTGCAAAAAATGGCAGTTTTTGAGAGAACTAAGCGTTCAATTTAAATGATTCAAAGAACTTCTAGCTTGTTTTAACAAAATAATAGATTTTGGAAAAAAATTGTATCTTTTTTTTTTGTATATCGAAAATATTTCAGATTTTATTTTTAATTCTGACTAAAGTTTTTTTTTAGTTTTTTTTTTTTGTATATCGAAAATATTTCAGATTTTATTTTTAATTCTGACTAAAGTTCTAATATACTTTAAACAAATAATTTTAACTTTGCAATTCAGTTTATATAATTCTTATAAATATTAGACAATGTTACAATATTTACAATAATCTATTTGAAAACATTCAGTATTCCTCGAACATTTCGTTACGGTACGGGAAGTTCCAGCAATTTGCCTTAAGGCACGATGCCATACACCCCACTAGTTTAGATATTATTTAGTAAAACTACTTTTTAAAAAATTTAATATACTGGTTTGCTGTGAATTAAATATTTAATAACGTATTATTTAATTATGTGCTCAATAAACAAGTTTATTACAACAAAAACTATTAAAATTAATACAAGTCGAAAATAATTTCCGATTTTGTGAATAGTAGGTAATTATTTGATGATTATCATCATTATAATAAAAATATCATCCCATAATTTGTTATTCTA